AATTTTTTTTTAATTTTCGATCAAATAATTATTTATTTAATAATAATTAATACCAAAACGAAATATTTCATTTAAATTTTAAATTAAGTTATGTACACTTATTAATTTTATAATTGAATTTAAAGATATAGAAACATCTTAAAGCAACTTTATAAATAAAACTTAACTTTTATAACTGGAAACTCCTATGATTCAAATAATATAGGGCACAGTAAAATGATAATTAAAAGCCTATAGAAAAATTAGAATAAAAAATAAATCGGGGCTAATCAGAAAGAAATTTATTGCTATTGATATATAATACTAAAAAACAAAACAAAGTTGCTTACACTTTTATAAATCAAATAAAACATAATTTTTAATCGAATATTTCAGTTTAAATTGAAACCAAGATAAAAGAAACATAGAAATATTTTTTTTAAAGTAGTAATTTTAACTAGATAAATAAAAAATACTTGATAGAACTCTAAACTAATGAAATATTTATAAATTAATGATTTCATTGCATATCCCATTTAAGAATGCATCATACTAATATAAATTAATGATACTTGTTACAAAGTAACAAAATAGCATAATCAAGATAAACTTAGATTTACATTTAATAAATTATTACTATTAAATTCAAACTATAAAAATGTTACAAAATTCTACCATATTTTTATAGCGTTTATTAATTCAACAAATTTTAATTTCTCTATAAATTTTGTACATTTGGTAATCATTTATTTAAACACAGTTTAATATAATTAAGTATTTCATTCAACAAATTCTTTTTAATCTTTAATCAAAAATATTTTTACTCAATATTCTACTATTCATTTATACATAGAAAATTCCTTTTGCTAACATGCATCACCTTGTTATTGGTAATAAAAATTTAATGATGAAATTTGAAAAAATTATAAGAATTATACTGGGGCCAATCTAAAGTAAACTCTATCATTGAGGCCCCTATGATAGACTTAAAGATCATTATAAAATATTATTAAATAATATAAAAATCTAAAAAAAAATTCTATCTNTTAAAGATCATTATAAAATATATAGAAATTACGATAATATCGATAATCTAAACACTATAAACCAATGCAATGTAGAAAATATTGACAGTTAAGATAATAAATATTCATTTAAAAACAACATTGAAATATCAGGAAACGTACCTCAATATAATAAAGACATTAGCTTAGAAAAATTAAAGCAATGCAAGTGTAATAGTATTGACTGTTTCAAAAATAAAAATCAATGTAACATGAATAATATTATTTCAAATAACGTACATCAATATAAAAAAGACATTGGTAGTGAGATAAAAATAAATCAATTTAGTAATTTTGATGAAATCATAAATGATGATAATATGATAAACTATGAATACAATTATACTAGGGACAATAATTATAATATATTAGCTAATATAAATACTAAACAATCCAATGAAGTAATGAATTTTGCAAACAAAATTATTACTAATGATAAATATATTGATGCCAATGATTCCAAAAAATATCTAAATACTATTTATGTCCCATATAGCAGGCCTGCTCTAAATATTAATAACATTGCAAACAATGTTACTAATGATAATTCCAATACTATTCCCTATGAAAATATTTTTAATACTATTGATATAGAAAAATTACAAAGAAATGCCATAAGACAAATGGGCTTATATAAAATTTAAATGAAATAAATACTAATTACGTACGTATAAGAACTATGATAATTATCTCCAATGATATAACTAGATAGATTAATAAAAAACATAATATAAAAACCATGAGATAATTATTTATAATAATACAAATATTGATAAATTATTTAACACAATATAAAATCCAAGTGAACGAGGTGTTGGCTAATAGCAAAAGGAATACTATCTTTACCAAAGTATAATTAAAACTTTATATAAATAAAGGGTATCTAATGAAACAAAAAATTTTTTAAATGACTTTATAATCAAAAATATTTAGCACCTTATTCAAAAATTCCATTTTATAAAAAGAATAAACTAAGTTATTCAAGTATCATTAATTAAATTCACTCTGCATGTAAAATCAAAAAAAAAAAAANTCATGTTTAATTTTTTGAATCAAAATTCAATGAAAATTATTTTTTTAAAAATTATAAAAAATGTTTAGAAAATTTTGTACTGGAGAATCTATTAAAAAGAAATTTTGAATGCTTATAAACTAAAAATCTTAGGTTTTGTGATACCACCTTAAGGTATTCGATATTCAAATATCCGAGGATGTCTAAAGAACGTCGTATGAACACAAATAGATTCAATGAGTAATGAATACATTAGATCCATAAAAACATAATATGTTAGAGTAAACTATTTATTATACTGATTTTTATATAACTTTACTAGAGCATATATAATGTTACTCAAGAAACAAGACAGGAGTTTGTTTTTTGTCTACCAAAACGTTTTAGTTTTATAAAATAATATGTTTATTTAAAAGTTTTCATTTCATACTGAAAAACTATAAAATAATATTATTATTTATACAACTGTCGAAGTGACATTAATTTTTTCACAGTAAACCTTGAATCAAATATAGATAAATACTTAGTCATACCATTATGAACTTAATAACTTTTTGTATTGGCTTAAACATGTCATATTTTCAATATCAGTATTTTTTTTTGTTTTTCAAATAATAGTGTACATTTCATCATTTCATTTACAATTTTAAAGCACCCAAACGTCCATTACATTTCTAGGTAAAAAAATAGTTGTGATTTTCCACCATATATACAACGAGACTTCACGAAACTACTATATAATATATTATGTAACAATATAAATAATACCACTTTAGGGGGGGGGGGTTCTGGATATTTTAAGTATATATGTGTGTAGTTTACCTAATAACGGTTAAACGCAACCAAACGTTTAAGTAGAGTCGTTAAAAGGGGTTGTCAGTCTATCCGAAACAAATCGGCGGAGGCGGCCGCGGACGAGACTACTTGTTTGTAAAACTAGCGGCTACTTTTTACTTACTCCACAGATAATAATAATCATTATTATTTAGGACGCGTCACCCAATCGTAGTCATTATGTGCGGTCTATATTATGTGCCGTGTCATGGTCGTGTAATATTGTGTGAGTATTAGCGCGTGCTCCGAAGATCCGCAGCTCCTGTGTTGGTTTTTTTATTTTACAGTGACCGGTAGGAGTGTGTGTTAGCTCGCACGTGCTTTGCTCGTTAAACACTTGATCAGCAGCTCCGAATACTCGGTGGGTGGCTGTATGAACTCATCAATGTGTGCGTTATTACAGCGATAGTCTTGGGCGACCGGCGAAGACTAGGTGATTTCTTTTTTCACTTGTTAATATCAGTCTAAACCTACGCACATTTGAACAGAGCTCACCTGTCGACTCGATTACTGTCATTATTATTATAATTTCGAGTTGTATTGACAAGTCGCTATGAACGCACGAAGTCTTCAAGTGCTGTTTTTCACTTCACGGCCAAACTGAAAGGGACCAAATGTGCCGCGTGCACTACATCGTGTCATTTCTAATCAATGGTTAATGGTATTTGTTTTACGGAAATGTGTATTTTTCTTTTGGTTGAACTCTTAACACTGCCGTCATATAAAGAATTTCCATTTTGTCATTGAACACTGTAATGTTTACAATCAGAACTTGTACAATAACCGATTTTTGAGCGCTTTTCGCAAATGGGAAATTGAACAATGGCCTTACTCAATGAGTAAGAGTGACCAAAACTTTCGTATTCACATGCGTAAGGTCGAAATTCAACAAATATTTTTCTCTTCCAAAGTTGAATATTGTCCAG